TATTCGAGCAAGAATAAAGAAAAATAGTATTCATTCTATAGATCTATAATAATTGCGAGTAAATTTAACTGATTTGTTAACACTTTGCCTTTTATGAGCAATACTGCAAAAAAATGAAATCTTTTCAATTAAGAGAGTCCTTCTTTCTATAAAAACTTCAGCAATTATTGCATTAGATATATTGAGCTTGAAGGCTACTTGGTGAATGAGAGTACTCCAAGTCTTAACTGTAATTTAGAACAAAAGGAAATAGGTTGTTCACCTGAAAATAATACAAGAAATGGTTAGAAATGCAGTGCAAAAAAAACCCCAAAGAAACAACTGATGGCTACACAGCAGGTCATCTGTGTTAGAACTGCAGTAAAGGAAGGCAGTGGAGAAATCCAGAGAAAACAAAAGAATCATGGACAAATTATCTGACTTGCATGCTTTAAGTTAGCTGATAAGGGTATAGAACATCTCTTTAATGTATTCACAGACACCTTATTATTAAAGTGTCAAACCTCTTTGAGGATTCTTCAGTAATTTGCTATTCCACTTCTGTTTCATTCACTAAGCAGTTTCTAAAGCACCCCCAAGATCCCATTTGTGGAGTTCTCAATGAATGAAGCTGGAAGCAACTCAAACTATTTTGATTCACTTAAAAGAGCATAAGCCGTCTTTAGAAACAAACTGTAAATGAGAAATCTCAAACCGTAAATGAGAAGTGCTATGGTCCCTTCACAATGTGAACACGTTAAAATAATTCCTTAGCTCATGAGACCCATGATCTAAATAATTGGTACACATATCTACCATAGTCTAGATTTACATATTGATATCAATTCTTATAAATAGGTAAAAATAATATACATTTTTACTTATTAAGAAATAAAAGGGAGTATACTCTGTAAGTGGATTAAAAAGCATACTTAAAGGTATTAATATAGTGCTTTTATGTCTTCACTGAAAGTAAAGTATAAAATAACTTTTAGTCTAGATTTTCCTTTTAGTAACATAAAGATATTTAAAGCAGTTATAATTCTGTGCATGATTTTAGTATAAATGATTTAATTTCTTGACATAATTAACAAGTTACATGTAACTGATTCTTAGGAGAACAAATATTTAATTGAGAATATTACAGAGTATCTATAAAAGATATTGTATAGATATTGTGGAAATATGAAAAAGATCATCAAAATCTCTGCCCTTGTGAAATGTGCTTTCACTTTGCAGATATGTCTTTAAGACTCTACTATATTTTTTACGTGCTGAAGGGATGGATTAGGTAACTTATATGGATCCCATCCAGTTCATGTACTCTATAAATTATGTGAATTAACCACTGGTATAGTAGAAATATCACTCATTTATTAATTTATCTCTGCACCATTTGATACTTTAGAAAATTAATATATTTATATCTACTAAATGCAACTGAGATGGACATTGTCAATTTCAACCTTAGATTAACTGAATGTGATCCCCTCCATAAGAAGAAACTTCCTATCTTCCTAAATAATCACTAATCGTAGGAGCATAAAAATTACTCCATACAAAGAAAAAGATGTTTAGAAAGACATAAAATATATTTTGCTCTTGCGAATTAGGAAACCACACATTTCATATTGATATTATACTGTCATTCTATGAAATTCCACAGGGAGCTCCTCAGCAATGTTTGGAATCCATACCTATATGCAACCCAAATAGAAAACCTATAGCTTGCCCAGGACAACATTTCTAACCATGCTATCCTATTACAGAATGAGATTCATGGCACAGCAAATCAAAGCCGGACGCTTAGCAGCTACAAGTCTCTGATATCTGCAGAAGCTATGTGGTGTTCACAATAGCTTGGACATGCCTGTTTTCAGAACAGGATAGCAAGACCAGGTGACATCTGACCCAAGAGCATTTGTTAGGGACAGACTCTACAGGGACAGAGCTTCAGTTAAGGTTTACCGCGAGGGAAGTGGTTAAATTAAATTGTTGATTGGGGAATGTGTTGAGAAACTCACCACCTTGTTTCCTTAGCTTCCTCAACAATTTCCAAGTGTATTTAGCTTATCTCTCAAACGAGGAAGAGACGCAGACTTTGTCTTTCTCAAGCCTCCACTAAGGTTTCAGCTTTTTCAGGTAAGAATTCCTGGCATTTCCCCAAAGGGGATATTTGTGATGGTTTCAGTCTCTTTCTGAGTGCCTGCGAGATGGGACAGGAATGCCTGGATTATCTTTAAAAGGCCTAGAGCTTTATTGCACAGGCACTCAGGAAATGTTTATGAAAGGGAGAAAATGAGGGAGAAATAGAGAAAGCAAATGAACAGAAAGGAGGAAAAAAGAAGGAAAGAGAAGGGCCAATTAGGCAGGTATTATTGCCTGCTTTGCAGTCCCTGTCCAGCAAGACGGCACTTGAAAAGCTCTAAAGGTTTTAAAAAGCTGCACTGCTCTCCTCTACAGAGCCTGCTTCAGGTAGAATGATTCAGGCGTCTTCCTTCAGTCTTCCCACCCAGCCCCCAGCCCCTTTCTCTGCAGGTGGTTTCATCTGGAGCATTTCCATGAAGGCTGGAGACACGCAGCTCCGATTTGGGTTCTGCCTTCTAGGAGTCAAAGGAGAGCTGGCAGAGCCTGCTGTGTGTTTACACTGCAGCTTCCTCACTCCACTAGGTCCCCGTGCCTGTAGCTGCAGCAGTGCTGGAGGAGGTGAGACAGGTAGAAAAGAGGGAAGGCACCTGCAGTGTCTCAGAAGGCTGGATTCCTTAAAGGATTCTGGGGAACAGAGCAGAGAGGGGATACAAATGGGCCTGGACAGTTTTCAAACAGGAGCTGAAGATTCCAACTGGTTTGCCAGTTCTCTCCAAAAACTTGAAGGATTCTAAAGAAATGGACTGAGAAGCTAGGAAGGTGGGACTCTCTCGAAAGATGTGCTGGGGAGCAGGCAATTATTTATGTCATTGAGGATGCTGTAAGTACAGAGAGAAGGGAACACTTCCACTCAACAAGAGGTTTTAATTCTTTATTCCATAGACTAGAAGTTAATTGACTTTCCCCTAGCTCCATCCATGGCTCTGAGCCTCAATTTTCTCATCTGTAAAACAACAGGTTTGGACTAGATGCTTTCGAAGGTCTCTGCCTAATGTTTTCCTCTATAACTGTCAGCCTATGAAGCAGGGTATCTGAGAGCAAACATCTATGAGCTTTCACACCAGGTTTCCCGTTCTTTCTCCACCACCCATTTATCAATGCAGTGCTACACCTGCACCATTCAGGGAGCTGATTCTAATTTTCAGGGTTGAAGAGGAGTATGGCTCAATTATGACAAATGATTGGTCCTTCTGCCCTGGAGTAAAGAAGGGAGGGACAGAGAAGGCAGTATGATTTACACTTTGGGTTTCCAAGGAGAGGATATTCTCGAATTTTCTATTTCAAATTTCATCCACTTAAGTAAATTACAAATTCCTTCAAAGGGTTCCAGATAGACTGACTGAAGAGCCAAAAGTCCTATAATGATCTATCCTATTTGGGGCAAAATTTATTTCATTTCATCCCAGAAATTGGATCTACTTTTTCCATGGAAATCCAGCACACACTGGTCATGCTCTTCTCTTGTCTGCCTGCCTCATGCCCTTCTGCCAGCCTGCTTCAGTGCAGCATTTTCTGGGGTTATTAACACCCAATTTTAATGAGCGTATACTCATGAGTGAGATGTTCAATGAAGCAGGACGCCCCTCCCCCCCACCAGCCACAACACACATGTAGGCAGTTTAAATGGCAGTGAGGATAAAATGTGTCTTCCCAAGAGTTTCATTTTTAATTTGTCTCACCGTGAAATCCCTTTAAATTGAAAAAATTAATATGTAGAAACACAGCTCCCTTGCTCCTCCTGTCTTCAAGTGGGCTATGACACACAGATAGTATACACTTGTTTTTACTACACCCACTAGCATTTCCATTTCATTTCGGTCTCCAAAATATGGCCAGGAGGGCAACTCTAGAAAAATGGATTCCCACTTTGACATCTCACGGGGCACTGATCCGTGCAGTGCTGAGCGCCCCCAGGGAGCATCACCATTTCCTGCCCCCTCCCCCAATTCACCAGAGCCCCTGATTTCCACGGGGGTTTGACCTTGCAAAGACACTTCTTCCGTTTCTGGGCAAGGAAGAACCCATTTTAACTCAAAACACACAACGACCTTTTCTCCTTTAAAGAAACACTACCAAAGGTAAAACATCTGGGTTTACATTTTTCAACCCTGCATTCCGGAATGCGAATACAGGATGCAAAGGCAGGTAACTAGTTTGGGTCTGACAATCCCCATTCAGAGGCTCTGAGTCTCAGACTCTGTTCAGAATAGACCGGACTGACAGGGCGGTTGAACATCTTTCCATTTTTTGCCCATTCACCATCGTGATGAAAAATCAAAACCGAAAAATTATCTACTCATTTCTAAATACTAAGAGAGAAATGTGCTTCTAGCGCCCAGCTCTGTGGTTCTAAACACTAACATCCCACTTGGAAACCAACCCTGGTTTCCACACCATCTCGTCCACTCAGTTTTACTTAGCAAACACGTTCGCTGCTCTTCCACGGTGAGAAAAATGGTGCACCAGCCCCACGGATGACAGGTTGGTACTTGACTGCAACAGCTCAAGAGTTTTATCAGCAACCGGAAAACTTCACAGTCGGTCAATTAGCTACTTAAATGTGTAAGGAAATCTGCCTACTTAGAGACAAACTTAAAAAGCACCTCTGTTTCACCTATCTTAAATCTAGCCTAAGACAATCCGCCAAACACGCTGCATATAAACATTCCCCCTTCCCCCGCCCCCGTTATTCCAAAAGGTCCCTCATGGACTAACAGTATGTTCAAATCACCAGCATTAACCAAAGCAATTGTCACCGTGCATTTAGATGTATCTATGCAAAGCAAAGTAAGTGACAATAGCCAAAGCATCTCCCAGACAACTGGCTGCACTACACATGCAGAAATGCCACGAAGATCGTATTTTCTACTTACTGTTATAGCGCTGCCCACGGTCACTTAGCGAAAATGATAGAACTCAACAGTTCCTTGTAAATAAATATATTTAATTCGGATAAACGGTTAAGCCGTCTCCGTGTATGGTTCTCTCACGCTCTTTTTTTCTGTGGAGCTCTAGACTGCTTAAATCCTTCTTGAATCGCGCCTTGCAAGCCCAGCAGTCGCTGCAGCCCGCTCCGGTAAGTCTCTGCTGCAGTTTGGGAATCCCATAGAAAACCTAGGGTTCCCTGGAGCCGGATGCGCAGGCGCTGGAGCCGCCGCCTCTCCAGGCACCCCCTCCCCTTTCCCCTCCTTCCTCCTCCCCCCTCCCTCCTCCCTCCTCCTCCGGGCTCCGCAGCCCAGCTTGGAGAGATCTGGCGCCGTGACCAAAAGCAGCCAGGCATTGGCGCACGCTCAGTTGGAGGGGCTCGGAGTTTGCGAGAGTGGATTCCACGTCTCCAGATTTTAGCAGAAACTCAAAAGGAAAGTAGCTAAGAAAAGGGAGCAACCTTCACCTGGGCTGGCAGAGCGGGGCTAGGCTCACCACGCCCCGCGGTTACCCCGTCTGGTGGTGAAGGCTGAGGCCAGAGCTGGGACACGTGGAGCCTGCTTTTCCCGCCACCCTCATGCCTAGAGGGCCCCCGGCCCACTCTTTGAGGGGCTGCAAGGTGAAGGAGAAAACTGCAGAAATTCCTTTCTCTGAAGGAAGAGTTCCCAGCAAGCTGTGAGCGCGTCTTCCCGGCTCACTGTCGAGGAAACTCTTACGGTGGGCACTTTGTGCAGGCCATTTCTTCCGAGAGTCTTATACTGGGAGTACAGGGAGCCAGGCCTTCTAGTACCCCACTACTCAGGAAGGTCCTGGTCCAGAACGGCGTTGGAGAAATGTGTGTTGAAGGGAGCTGGCTCTGAAGCTTCTTGTCCCGGGTGACCTTGGGCAAATCATGCTAATCATCAACCAACGTTTAATAATCGCCTTGTTTATGCACTAAATATATTTTATTGAATGTGCTTTGGGTGGGGCTGGGGAGGGGATAGTGAAGGGGAGGGAATGAAACTTCCTCGGAATCCTGGGTTGAGGGATTGGACTAAGCCATTTTATAAAGCCCCTTTTTGTGTCCTTGAAGGACACGTACATTTGCCAGCCCTCCCCAGATCCTGACTGTCCTAGCCAAAGCCTGGAAGACTTGGCAAGGAGTAGTGCCCAGTAAATGTTTGGTGGCTTGCCTACCAGGAAAGCAAGACTTCTTACATGTTCCCAACCTGATCAGTTTCCTCAAGTGTGTTGTTTGTACATTCGCTTATTTCAACAATTATTCATTGACCTCCTGCCTACTGACTTTAGGCACTTGTCAATGCCTTGGGGATAAAGGCAGCGAACAAAATTCCTGTTGAGGTTTACATTCAGGTGGGAATTTTCAAGAGAGGGAAATTCTGGAGATGCAGTGAAGATCGACTTTCTCTTTAAGCAGAGAGTTTTACAATTTGCAGAGTGCCTTCAAATACCTTATCATGTCCCAGAAAACTGCCGTTTTGGGTTCTGAGCACACCATGAATATTTCCCTTGGCCAAAGGGCTCGAGGCAGACAAACCTGCATTGCTAGGAGGGAGTCTACGCCTGACTGCTAGTAGGGGGCGTCCAGCTTGGAAGAACCTGAGGCTACTTAAGCAAAGATCCAGAGAAACTCCGCCGGACAACTCTCAGGCTTTGGAAGGATAGCGTTCGGTGAGGGCCTCTGCGGTGACGCCTAAGCCGCTGCCTCGAGCTCAAGGCCAACCTGGACCGCCCACAGGTCAGGAACGCGCGCCCCTGGGCCAGGCGCCTCGGGCAGGTTGCGCAGAGCGGGAAAGCGCTCCCGGGACTCCCCGGACAAGGCTCTCCGAGGTGCCCTCCCGGCAGGGCTCTTCCGCGCGGTGCCGGTGAACGCGGAAACCCGGAGCGTGGAATAGCGCGGAACATGGCGCGCGGCTCCGGCGTGCTGCGGCAGCCGAGCAGGTTGTGAATCTGGCGGGCGCCAGCGCTGCGCTCCCCGGCCGCGATACGCACTGCGTTGCGGGCCTCGCCCGGCCCGATTCTTTCTGTTTCTCGGGCTGGGGTGGGGGCAAAAGTCAGTTCTCGATAAGTCGCTTTGTTCGCTCACGGACACAACCTCCAAAGCTTTCAAAGTGATTTCCAGTCTTTTGTCGGTTTTCCCTACTCTAGCATTTTACGCTGTGCTCACTGGTTTCTCTCCGGAGAACAGTCTCCGCGCTGCAAACCGCATCAACCGTAGGGGTCATGATGCCATTTCTTTGCTTCGAGGAGATGTACTTATTTATCGCGCCCTGGAGGCCTCTTTCGTGGCAATGTTAGGTCGTTGATGACTTACTGACAA